CATGTGATTTTGAAAATCCTTGATATTTTGTAAATAGCTCCGTTGTTGATGTAAACAGTGTATCACCTTTTAGGTCTTGTTTCTCTTAATGTTCGCGGGGAAAGTCAGCTCGATACGTGATGAACTCGATTTTGTCTATGAGTCTCTAACTCCATCTTGTGCAGTACCTGTTGCCAAAAATCTTGACTATGACGATCGTACGAATGCAGGTGGGGGTGTGCCCTTGAGCTCGCAACGTCCCCGGACAGGATTGAACTGTCAACCTCTCGATGAAACTCTCGCCGGCACTTGATCTAAAGCGCCGCCGCGTAACAGTCGAACGCGCTAACCAATTGCGCCACGGAGACATGCTCAACACCAGCAATAATAAGGTTATCATTAGCCAATTAGGGAGGCAGTAAAACAATGACTGATCAGGTGGACCAAGTCAGCACCCAGGAGCAGTAGATATGCTGATCATGTGAGGTGGCTCAAAACTTTGAATACACCTTACTTCCTCCTCCAGGGCAATCCATCATACTCCCTCAACATATGGCTCACAAGTGGTCAAGGATACACTTCCTCACTCAACTCCCACTCCATCATCTATCCTCTTTGTCACTCTTGGCTCTGGAGTTCTACAGATCAAACCCTCCCAACTACTTGAATTCTTGATGAAAAGTATGGGCCTGAGATTTCTGTACTGAGAATATTTTCCTTCTCATATGAACATTTCAAGACTGGAAAGATGCAGAGGAGACACATACCATTAGACAGTCATGTATCACATTCAACACATTGCAAAATTTTCAAAATTTGTGGCCATCCAGTCTAACACATTGCAAAATTTTCAAAATTTGTGGCCATCCAGTCTTGATGCCCCCCCCCCACACACACACCAGAATGACACAATTAGAATACAGGACTGCAAGACAATTAAAACAAAGCATCCATGATAGGGCCTCCAAGTTGAAACTCACACATACCAGCTGGAATTTGTGGGGCAACTTGCAAAGGCCTCTCTGGATGAGTTGTTGTGTATAACAGCTTCCTGAGTGAGGCCAGTGTTATGAGCCGTAGCACAAATTGTTATATGCACAGAGCCTATCATGTATATGTCATGGTGTGGTTTTCCATTTGCGTTACAATGCCAAAAGCACATGGCAGAGGTATTGTGAACAGATGA